GACTAAGCTACTTCTCTGTGACGCAGTGATTTCTTCGCTAGGTAGTTGCCGTGGTTTCGTCGGTGGTAGGTTTTCGTGGATGTGAGATGTCTTCTCAGATGTGGTCGTCAAGGAGAGAGGGAATCACTTTTGATAGAGTCGGGTCGCGCCAAAAAGGCCATTGGGACGCGACCACTAAAAACGCGCCGGTGTGCAGCGTACCGGGCCAGGTAAGTGGAAGCTTAAACGCCAATTGCAGGGGAGCCCCCGCCACATTGGAGACGTTCGCAGCGTCCCCAGTGACCCCAATTAGCTGGGAGACGGCAAATCGGCCATCACTGTCCTCATCATCCTTGCTCACCCAGCTAGCCTCGTCGCCGCAGTCTGCGACTACATATTCGTGCCTCCTCCTGGTGATTGGCAATCTAAGAAAGCCTGCCTAGAGAACATTGACGACTACACACCATACGAAGCCTTGTTAGAACAAGAGCCAAACCGAACGAAAAAGCAGCCAAACTTCGGGGACGACACTGATTGGGACGTCCGGCCCTTCACCACGACTCCTCGACCGCCGCGAACATGAGCACGGCGCGGATGCGACAATGACTTCCCGAAGCACATCCTTCTCGCACAGCCCGCACCGGCCCCCGCGCCCTTCCATCAGCTCGAGGATCTCCTTTGCCGTCTCGACCGCCGAACAGAGCGAGCACGATGACGAGACCGCCGGCGCCCCGCCCGCGAGTCATCAGCAGCAACAGATCGAGGACGAGATCGCCGAGATCAAGCGCTACGAGGACTTCACCACCATAGACTGGGTACAAGATGCCGCCAGGGAGCAGGCGCGCAAGAAGCTGCGTCGAAGGCGGCGCGCCGGCATGCTCGACACAGGTCAGGCGGCGGGCTGGAGGTATCGTCTGCGAGAGTCCTACGACGCTGCGCAGGGCTGGCTCGTCGTCACGCTGATTGGTATTGCCATTGGACTCAACGCTGCGTTCCTGAACATCATTACGGAGTGGTTGTCCGATATAAAAATGGGGCACTGCACAACGGCGTTCTACCTGAACGAGAACTTTTGCTGCTGGGGAGAGGACAATGGATGCGACGAGTGGCATCCCTGGACGGGGTTTGGCCCAGCCAACTACGTTATCTACATTGTCGTTGGCGCCCTCTTCGCCTTCACGTCGGCCACTCTGGTCAAGTCGTTTGCACCGTACGCCGCGGGATCGGGTATCTCGGAGATCAAGTGCATCATTGCGGGCTTCGTCATGAAGGGATTCTTGGGATTCTGGACGCTCTTGATCAAGTCCGTCTGTCTGCCCCTGGCCATCGCCTCTGGTCTGTCCGTCGGCAAGGAGGGTCCCAGTGTACACTACGCCGTGTGTACCGGAAACGTCATTTCTCGCTTATTCGAGAAGTACCGACGCAACGCCTCCAAAACGAGAGAGATACTGAGCGCCTGCGCCGCTGCTGGTGTCGCCGTCGCGTTCGGTAGTCCAATTGGCGGAGTGCTTTTCTCTCTGGAAGAGATGTCTAACTACTTTCCCCTCAAGACGTTGTGGCGCAGCTACTTCTGCGCTCTTGTGGCGACGGCTGTGCTTGCGGCCATGAACCCCTTCAGGACGGGACAGCTCGTCATGTTCCAGGTCCACTACGATCGCTCGTGGCACTTCTTCGAGATTGTCTTTTACATCATCTTGGGCATCTTTGGCGGTCTATACGGCGCCTTTGTGATGAAGTGGAATCTGCGGGCTCAGGCATTCAGGAAGAAGTACCTGTCAAAGTACGCCATCGCGGAGGCAACGATTCTCGCGGCCGGCACTGCCATCATCTGCTATCCCAACGTCTTTTTGAGGATTGACATGACCGAGAGCATGGAAATCCTGTTCCTCGAATGCGAAGGAGCTGAGGACTACCACGGCCTCTGCGAACCAGACAAGAGACTGTCCAATATCTTGTCACTGGCTCTGGCTACGATCCTCAGAATCCTGCTGGTCATCATCTCGTACGGCTGCAAAGTGCCAGCTGGTATCTTCGTTCCGTCCATGGCCATCGGGGCTTCATTTGGGCGGACAGTGGGTATTATTGTTCAGGCCATTCACGAAGCCAATCCTACGAGTGCTTTCTTCGCAACCTGCAAGCCGGACGAGCCATGTATCACACCCGGCACGTACGCATTCCTTGGCGCTGCTGCCGCGCTGAGTGGTATCATGCACATTACCGTATCTGTCGTTGTCATCATGTTTGAGCTCACCGGCGCCTTGACGTACATTCTACCCACCATGATCGTGGTGGGTGTGACCAAGATCGTCAGCGAAATGTTCGGCAAGGGCGGCATTGCGGACAGGATGATCTGGTTCAGCGGGTTCCCCTTCTTAGACAACAAGGAAGAGCACAACTTTGGCGTCCCCGTCTCGGAAGTGATGCGAAAGGAGCTTACATCTTTGCCCGTGAGCGGCATGGAATTCTCCGAGCTTGAGAAGCTTCTTAAGGAGGACAAGTACCAGGGCTTCCCCATCGTTGAGGACACAACTTCAAAGATCCTCGTCGGCTACATCGGCCGCACCGAGCTGCGCTACGCCATTGACCGCGTACGGCGAGAGAGACCCATCAACCCGGAGGCCCGATGCACCTTCTCGCCTCCGCCGGCGTCACTCAACGCAACTACTCCACTTACGCCGACTGTGACGGTCAACCTGGACCCGATGTCGACCATGTCGGTTGACTTCAGTCGCTACATCGATACCACGCCCGTCACAGCGCACCCGCGCCTACCACTTGAGACCGTCATGGAACTGTTCCGTAAAATCGGCCCCCGAGTCGTGCTCGTCGAGTACCACGGCCGCCTGTCGGGTCTGGTGACGGTCAAGGACTGCCTCAAGTACCAGTTCACAGCCGAGCACGCTGAGAATCCGCGCGATGACTCTGCCTTTGCGGAGAGCCAGGAGAAGTTGTGGAGTGCGATGCGGCGTGCGGCTGGGTGGGTTTCTGACAAGGTGACAACGGCTTCCGGCGGGAGAATCCAACTTTCGTCGTTTGAAGAGCGACGAGGTATGGGCGGTGGAAGCAGAGGTGGTGGTGGTAACAACGGCAGCGGAAGCGGTGGGGGAAGGCCGGCTGGGGCGCAGATATTAGACGGCGACGAGGACGACGTCGATGACGGCGCTTTGGAGCTCGAGAACCGGTAAACGGAGGTTTTCTAGATTTATTTCATTTGGTGCGGGCGATTCTCGGAACTTTGGAGTTTGAAACGTGTGATTCAGGTGGTGAGGGACATGGTCATCTTGGGAGGTCGGGCGTATGTATACAACAATGTTAGTTACGAACATATAGGGGTTTGGGCACATAGACGTCGAATAGATTTGCGGTGTTCAATTGCTGCGAAAGCACATCTCGTCGTTCCTTCTCTCCTCGCGGCCCTGATCTTACCAACCTCCCCGTATGAATACACGAGAAGGGTATATAACCCCAACCCCCCCCCCTTCCAGTCCATTCCAGTCACCAGCAGGCGCCTCTCTAAGTCGAGAGGTCAGGTCAAACTGGGACAGGTGGTGGAATGGATTATGGTCAACAATCGATTTACACATACGCCAACCAGCCTACTCGGCGACAGGCTTAGCGAGTACCCGAGTTCGAATCCCAGCATGAGCACCAAGAGATGTAGCCTCCAGTTCAGCACCGGCGGGGTGAACTCTTTTTTCGTCTTGAACCCTTTGGTGTTGAGACCCTTTTGATATCTAAATGCATAGGGTTGAAGGAAGAAGCAAATGGTTAAGGGTGGTTGAGAGGACTCGCGATATTGAGGCCAGCGCTTTCTGATATATTTCTCGGCTACCTGGCGTTGATTTTGTAACAAGAGTGAAGGAGGTGAGATCTAGGCGTCTTCTCCTTCTTGACGGCACATATGCTAGTGAGTCAGTACTTCTTCGGAGCTCAGGGAGGTTATTTCTTTAATACAAGGCACACTCCTCTTACTTAGGCCATCTAGGCCATCTAGGTCATCCCCTATTATCCAACCACCTTGCATCCCAGCTCTTGTAGGGACCAAAGATCGATGAGCTATCAATAGGCAGTATCCTTCCGATAACCGAGAGATATAGTTCTAGCCGGAAATGGCGAAGGCCTCCACCGTTGGCTCGCGGTCCTGTACAACGCTATGGACGATAGCTTATTCTTTTTCACTCTTCTAGCTGTGATGATATTGATAAGTTACATGTCATGCGGACCCCAAGCCACTACATCCATCAATATGCTTCACTTATGGCGAGATAGCGGCCTCCATCCCCCCTTTCAGAAGCTTTAGTAATCATCTTGATTGAAACGATGGGCTAGAGATGCTCTTAGACACTGGACTCGGATATTTCGCATCTCCCAGCCGAGCCTGGTCCCGAAATAACATGGGCAAGGGATAATCTCCCTCGTCGAGTAGAGTAAAAAGCGCAAGCAAGGTAGCAGTTCTCACTGACTAACCTTGAGAGAAACTTCACAACCAGGCACCTCTGCGGTTCAACACAGCCCCACACGAATACACTCCTCGTCGTCCTTCATAGCCCACCAAGTCGCAGAGTCTGTCGGGGTGGGCGAGAAAGTACACTTTGGGCCAGTGGTTCATCGTGCGGCTTCTCCTTCACTGACGCGAACCTGCCATTTAAAGTCTACAGATGCCTGGCGTCTCGCTGTAGCATTATTTATGCCGGTTCGAATCACTTTTTTTCACTTTTTTTTCTGTCTCTTTCTTTCTTAATGCAGAGTAACGAGCATAGCTTGATGAAGCATCGCTAATAGAAACTCGTTTGCACTCTGAGGAGCGGTATGCGTCGAGTGGTAGGTAGCGACTACCAGATCATGCAAACACTCATGTACGGAGCCAGTCGCTTCAGTTGTATACAAGCAGAGAGAAGTATTTGGAGCTCATCTAAGTTCACTCTTAATCAACTCGGGGTATTGTCTATCTATCCAACATGCATGATATATATAAGCAAACATGTACAAAGTCTCCTATTTGCAATCGCCTCAGTCTAAACTCAAGTGCGATGTTCCGCAGAGTTCAAGTCCCCCAAATCGACAATATCCTCGTCCTCGGAGTCCTTGTCCTCGTCGCCGCCATCCAGCGGGACGGGAGCGAGACCCGGCTGCTGCGGCACCGGCGCGTAGTCGCCAGACTTGTCCGCCTCCTCATCTTTGCGGCCGATGATGACGTTGCCGGCGACGAGCATGGCGGCGCCGACCCACCAGAGCGGCGGCAGCGACTCGGAGAAGATGACGAAGCCGAGCATGGCGGTGATGACAAAGTTGGAGGACGTGTTCATGATGGACACCTGCGTGGTTGACTGGCCCTTGGCAAGTGCTTTTGTGAAGAGAGTCCACATCTAAGGTAAGTGTCAGTTGAGTTCACGTAGGTGAGAATAATAGGCTGGGCAACTCACGATGCCGTTGAAGACGAGGTTGAGACCGAAAAAGACCTGAGACAGGATTAGCAGTTTGATGATGTTGAGTATTCAATTCAACTCACTGCTCGCATGACAACCTCAAAGGCTCCTTCGATATCTTGAAGATGAAGAAAGTTGGAGATTGCTTGAGATATTGTCGTTGTGAGCTCAGTTGTGGTCCTATGCAGTTGTAAGTAAAGCATTCAACAGACCGTAGCCCGACAGTGTGCCTGAGACACTCAAAATGAGCGCATTTAGTTCACAGAGCTACCAACTAAGAAACAAGTTGCTCTGGTAAAGCAAAACAGTGAACTTGGTTCTCAAGCTGTGATGTCGACTCAAAGTGTTAAAAAGTCTTGGCATCGCACTCGATAGTCCCCCGAATGAGCCGAATTGAGAATATCAACTCACAACTTTGCAAACACGCCGTTGAAAGCAGCGCAAGCGCCGCTCGCAACGGCCAGCACAATCCACTGATTCCGTCGTGCCCAAGCCATGCTCTCAGTCGCTTGCTCGTCGTCGTCTTCTGCCTCGGTTGGCGGTTCGCTGTGTGCGTCGTCCTCGTGGCGTGGGAGCAGCGGACTGCGCTCATTGTCCAGGGTCGTCGTCGTCGCGCCCGCCATGGTGGGTATCTGATCCTTTTGAGAGCGGCGGTCGGGGGCGGATGCTGCGGCGGCTTGTCGCTGGCGGAGCATTATGTGGAGAGGGAAAGGAGAGGAAGAGGAAGGAGGGAGATTGGGTGTTGGTGTGAGTGATCCCTGCTAATTACTGCTTTGCTTGGATGGGACGGGATGGATGACGGCCTTGGTGGTGGGCTTGGCGATGGGGGATGAGGTAAGGTAGCTCGGTGCGTCGCTGCTACTGCTGCTGCGGTTTCGGTGCAGCAGCAACTCCTGCACACAGATGTACCCACGTGCCGGATAGAGTGTGTGTGCGCGCAGAGAAAAGAGAAACGGGTTCGCGGGAGTTGGGAAAGTCTGATGGCGACTACCGGCGTGTGTGTCTCAATGGTGTGGATGGGATTGTTTGACAAAGTCCTCGAGAAGTCGCACGACTAGTGTAAGGGGAACATCCCAGTGCGTACAAATCCAGGGGCACGCGTCCTTGTCTTTCAGAGCCTCGGAGGTGTTGTTTCGCTGTTTGAACGTGGGTCTGACAAAATCTTTGTACTAGTACCACTGGAACTTGGAATAAGTTTTATGATGAACAAAGGAATTCGATTGGCGACCAAGTCGTTGGAATCACAGGCCGTTGAGGCTGAAGGGGAAAAGAAGCGCCAGGTTACCAGTCTCCAATCGCCAATTGCCAGGGAGGAAATCCGACGCGGAACCACTTCGGCTGTACTCCCCGTTTCCGGAAGATGGGGCCCCGGCTGGCTCAACAGTTACCCGGCATCGGCTTCCCCTCTACAAAGTGGCAGGGGCTATTGCTTCAACTTCGAGGCTCAGAAGCTAGAACTTGTAAGCACATTATGCGGCAAATCTCTGTCTCTATCCAATTCACCGGTATAACGCATAGATGCCAATGGGGGCCATATCCGACATCGTGACTGGCCCAGTTGGGACAAACGGGATAAGATGACGTATGATGGGCGAGCAGTATTTATCTACATACTGTGCAGAATAATACAATGGCAAGAACCAAATCACTGCGTTGAGCCAATTTCTACAATCCAGCTATAATACCATTCCGAACTTGGGTTTTGGTCGCAGCGAATCATGAATCAAGATTACCAGTCGTAACATAGTTCAAATGCAGGCAGCCAGTCTATTGTTGCGCTGACGCAAACCTATGAACGATGCTGTATAAACCTCTGATGGTATCAAAATGGCAATCTTGAAAGAACAAACTCCCGTATCCTTAAACCGTGCCATCGTAAGAGCATGAACCTGAACGCCTGTAATATGCAGCCACTGGGGGCGCTCGTTGTCGTTCCCATCGCCCTTGTCCGCAAGTGCGTCTCGTTCGTGTATCCGAGTAAGGTGGTCGACGCCGCCTCTAATGCTCACTATCGTTGACGCATACCCTTCAAGGGCCTTCACCGGGCTTCTTGGCGTTGCAGCTGACGATCTTGACCTTGTCGGCGGTCACGATCTGCCCGCCATTATCCAGCTTGAATTGAACGTTCTTGATAAGAAACGTCCAGACTTCGTCGCAGAATCGGTAGGTGCTCAGGCTTCCCTATGATGCGCGCAACGTTAGCTCTGATTCACAATTCTCGTGCCAATTGGGGCGCATCTTCTGCGCTTTCCAAGAGGGAATCGCTTATAAACTAAAAGTATTCTGAGTTATGCGCCGGAGGCTGGCAATAGAGATCGAACCCCGGCGCAAACGAGCAAGATGGTAAGTAAGCAGCACGTACCTTGAAAGTCAAGCGAGCCTTGACGCTCTTTTGCAAAGCCTCTGTGATGGCCTGGTCGAAGTTGGCCAGGATCTTCATCGCCAACTGAGGGTGAATACGCTCCTCGCTGATGAGATCGTCCAGCATATCTGTCAGCGCAAGGCCGATGCTGCATCAAGCAAATGAGTTAGTCATCTGTAGCACAGTTATGTAGTAATTAATTTGGATGGCGCTGTACCTGCTACGGCGATAAAGCTCGTAGAACGATTGAGGTGCGGCGGCCATCTTGGAGATTTGCTCTGATCTCCTACGGGCGGGTCGTTTTAGGCGGTTGTGAGTGTGAAAGAGGCGAGGTTGTATTTATAGTGGCATTGTTTGAGGATATCCTTGGATTCTGCTTATTCATCTGCTGTATGTGGGGCTGACATGCTCTTGCCGTGGCTGATGACACCCTGGTGCCTGCCACGCCTGTCAGTCTTTCTTGCCTTGACTCTGGCTCGCATTACCTAAGGATGCATCAAGCCACATCATGTGACCATCCCGATTCTGGATCCCTCTGCCTTACCTCAGATACCTTACCTCACTGGCCTGGACTAGAGAGCTCGACGTAGCTGCAACGCCCCCCAAAGCCCTCCACCGTCAACAACAACCACGACACAGGCAACGCAACGCACCGAATCGAGCACGATGAGTCTCACATATGGCCTGGGAGGCATTGGGAGCACCCTTCTCGTTGTAGGAGCTTGTACGAAACCCCATCTCCGCGATGGCATCGACTATTCCGCGAATCACAGTCCCAGCTAACACCTTTTAAATAGACATGCTCTTCACGGGATCGGGCGAGGCTTTCAACGTCGGCGAGTTCCTCGAATCTATCTCACCCTACGCGTGGGCGGACACGGGCATTGCCCTTTGCATCGGTTTGTCCGTTGTAGGCGCGGCATGGTATGGAGCGAAGCTTCCCAGCAATTGACGACACAGGGCCAAGGCATAATCTAACATGGCGACCAAATCTAGGGGTATTTTCATCACCGGCTCCTCCATCCTCGGCGCGGGCGTCAAGGCCCCGCGTGTGCGAACTAAGAACTTGATCTCCATCATTTTCTGCGAAGTCGTCGCCATCTACGGCGTCATCATGGCTATCGTCTTCTCCGCCCAGCTTGAGAACGTCCAGGGTGAGGTTCTGCACGACGGCAACAGCTACTACACTGGTTTCGCCCTCTTCTGGGCCGGTATCACCGTCGGAATGTGCAACCTCATCTGTGGTGTCGCAGTCGGCATCAACGGCAGTGGAGCCGCGCTGGCCGATGCCGCCGACCCTACACTGTATGTTTGTTCCAGACACGATGAGCGATCTTTTACATGTGCTAACTAGCCGGGGTACAGTTTCGTCAAGATTCTCGTTGTCGAGATTTTCAGCTCTGTCCTCGGTCTTTTTGGTCTGATTGTTGGACTTCTTGTCTCTGGCAAGGCCAACGCTTTCGGCAAGGCATAAGGCATAACAAGCTGTCTACACGATATGAAAGTTTCGAAAAGAGGAGGTTTATCACCGACAGCATAGCAACTATCTACCTCGGACACGATGTACAGTGGAGCACTGCATTACACCAAGGTTTACTTGGGCGGGCGTTAATGGCATACAGGCAGGGCGAGGACATTTTGTATTGTACACTATCAACGTATTATAGCTCCTCATCGAGATGATTTCTGCGCGTCATAAACTTTCGACCTCTGATTCGCTTAGTATAGGATCTCGGCCCAAGTCATCTATACGCAGCTGGTGTATTCTATCGGGTATAAGAGTTGACGAGTATCCTTTGAGCTCCTTGCAAGCACAGCTAGGCACATGAGGGATCAACTTTACTGACTGAAGACTGAAAATCATGTCATCATACACGCATTCTTATTATTGGTACGGGCGTAGCTTAACGATTCAATACTCCACACGGATGTCCCCCATCATCAGAGCCTCCACCTTGGCCCCCTTCTTCAACGGCTGTGAACCGGCCGGGAGAGCGAGCAGGGCATTTGCAGACTTTAGGCTGCCAACCTTTGAGCTTCGTTGACCGCCGGTACTGCTCGCAGACAGAGACCCGTCCTTTCCGACGGTGACTATGGCGCGGTGGTGCTCTGGCCGAGCCTTGTCGAGAGAGAAATCGTGACGCAACGTCACGGGAACCTTGGGCAGGCCCGCGGGCTCGATGCCAGACAGCTTATGCAGCGCCGGCAGGACAAAGAGGTGAAACGTCACCAGGGCGGACGCCGGGTTTCCCGGCAGCGAGAAGATGGTCTTGGTGACCCGCTTCCCGAGCGTCGTCTTGACGGGCACCGTGGCGAACGTGGTCGGCTTGCCGGGCTTCATGGCCACGCGGCCAAAGTGGATCGTGCCGCCGAGGGCCCGCTCGATGGTCGGCTTGAGCAGGTCCAGCTCGCCCATGGAGACGCCGCCCGTGGTGATGAGCAGATCGCTGCGGCGGAGCCCTTCGCGCAGGTTCTCCTCGAGAGCCTTTTCCTTGTCGCGCGCGATGCCGAGGTCGACGACTTCGAAACCCCACTGGCGGGCTGCAGACATGAGGGTGATGCGGTTTGTGTCGCGGACTTCGCCGAGGCGAAGGCCGCCCGGGCGGGAGGGTTCGATGATCTCGTCGCCCGTGGAGAGGATGCCGACGACGGGGCGCTTGTAGGTTTGGACTTCTGCTACGCCGACGGCTGCGAGGAGACCGATTTCGCCACCGACGCCAGAGATTTGTTCACCCTTTCTGAGGATTGTGTCGTTTTCTTGAATGTCGCTGCCGACTTCACGGATGTTCTCGCCGGGTTTGATGCCGTCAGCGAGAATCTCCACCTCCTTTTCTTCCTTTTCGTCCTTGGTTTTGGATTTCAGAATGGTGTCCTCGACCATGATGACCGAGGTGGCTCCCGGGGGTAAAGGGGCTCCTGTTGTGATTCTCGCGATTTCTCCTTCCTTGAGGGTCTTGACCTCGCCTGGGGCGGCGTGGGATACTGCGGTGACGGGGAAGACGCCCTTCATGTTGCCGTCCTCGGGTACCACCACCGCGTACCCGTCCACAATGGATGCCCTGAAGGCCGGGACGCTTTCTCTGGCCGTTACGTCTTCTGCGAGAACCGAGTTGATGATGTTGACGTCTACTTTGGTCGTCACGACCTCGGCGTCAGGGGTGAAGTCTTTGATCAGTCGCAGGGCATCGTCAACTTCCAGCATCGGGTACGGTGACTCTCTGTATCTGCGACTTGGGCCGAGACTCGGATCGTTGGAGAGGGGGTTTTCTTCCGGCTTGGTGTGTCTGACGAGGCCCCCATGGCCATGGCCGTGAGTATGTGAGTGTCCATGGCCGTGGCCGTGGCTGTGACTGTGATCATGGCTGTGGTGGTCGTGAGAGTGCGCCTGCTCTTTTTTGGATGTTGATCCTACAGAGGCGCCTTGGATTCCCGCCTCAGACTCGAGTTTCTTCACCCCGCCAGAGTGGAGGATCCTGGAGTCAGCGCCGGCGGCCTGTACGCACGCATGCGGCAAGGTCTTGAGGATGGCTTGTAAGTTTTCCTTGGCGCCCTTAGGGGAGCCGGGTAGAGTGACGATGACGGTGCTGTTGCGTGTACCTGCCACCGGTCTTGACATCATTGCAACTACTGCAGTCAGTTTTTGTGTTTTTTGTGAGTATCATACTCACTTACATGGAGTCACGGCAAGGGATGCAGCGAGCATTCCGTGAACCAGGCCTGGGGCGGTCCTATGGAGGAGGGTTGCGACAGCCTTTGCTTGGTGATCAGCATCCATCGATCGCATATATGCAGATATGTCGTTCATCGTACCTCGGGCGTGTTATCTGACATAGCGAATCCAGTTCCACCAGTAGTAAGGATCAAGTTGACTCCTTCCACGGGACCCAAATCCGCCCAGAGCATGATTTGCCGTTGGATCTGGGGGACATGATCTTGCACAATCTTGGTATCGGTGACCTGCCATTTACCGCCACCCTCATTTTCGATCACATCTCGTAGGATTAGTTCCGATTTGTCTGTCGACGGGTCCTTCGATGCTGTCGTCGACACGATCAAGATAGCTACTTTGAGCGGGGTGTCAGTCATAGTGGAGGTAGCTCGAGATGCTATAAGCAGTGGTGAAAGATGGTTTCCAGACACAGTTTTCTTCAAGATAAATCGGCGACCATCAAGCACATCAAATCAGATGAACTAGGTATTTTTCACCTCAATGGATTACCTAGTATGCCTGGTGACGTCGGGAGCTTGTGGTAGGAGGGAGCTAGGTACCGGAGGTGAAGCTCCCCGCCTTAGTCAGCAATGATACTCATGTCCTTGCATGGACCCATTCCAACGGATTGCACTTGCAGGATACGTACCTCAAGCTTGAACTTTTACAAGACTCAACTTTCAAGGCCGATTTCCTCCTCTCGTTGGATGACGCGATCTTGAGCGCGCCAAGATGGTCCGAATCAAAGAGAGATACATTCTCGTCAATATTCTGTACCCGCCAGAAGATTCAAATCAAAAATCCAATGTTCCAGATTTTGTGGTGATGCATCAACCGACGACCGGAAGTCTCACACCTCAGTCACTTCTTAAGGCGATACGAGCTGAGGTCGCTATTCTTTTCGGTGATTACGGTTCTGGTGCTATAGAAGGAAATCTCGTCGGTGAGTTCACGGAGAAGGATACGTCTGTCTGTGCTGAGCAGCATCTAACAGTCATGTAGTCAAGTATCTCTCTCAGGCGACGTCGACTTTCATCTTGAAAGTGAAGAGAGCGCACTACCGTCTAGTCTGGGCTGCTCTGACGTTTATGAATCGCGTGCCTCTCAAGAGCGGAGAAGGCAAGCCCTGCACCTTCAAGGTTGTCAGAGTCAGCGGGACCATTCGAAAGGCCGAGGAAGAGGCCATTCGTCAAGCGAGACAGCTCGTGCTTGCCGCCAAAGATTCTTCCGCGGCTGCTGCCGGCGGCGCGTTGCCGCTTTTCTCAGAGCCCAGGACCGAAGCCGAGGACGCGGTCATGTTCGATGCGTCGGACGTGTCTGACGAAGATGACGTGGTTGAAGATGACGGCTGAAGGGTATCATTTGTTCTTGCGCACTACTTTTATGCCACTATCTGCAGGTATCGTCATGTCGCCAAAGTCTGGATCATAATCGTCGGCCGCCGGCGGCGGCGCCTGCCCGGCGCTGGGATCATCCTCCTCCCGCATCTTGGCCTGCTCTTCCCATTCCTTCCGCTCCAGCTCGTCGTATTCCGCCTTACGATCGACCCAGCGCTCCTGGATATCCTGCACCTCCATCATGGACGACTCGTTGCGCATTGCGACCTGCCAGACGGAGTCATTTGCGCCTTCTGCACTGCCAAAGGCGTATCCTCCTGCTCGGTCGATCACCCGGAGGAGATGCATCATGCTCTTCTTGTCTTCGACTGCGAGGACCTCGAACCGGACTAGGCTGTAGCTCTCGATCATGTTTGACACGGCTGCATTGAGTCTGCCGAACTTTTCGTTGCGCATCGCCGGCGATTCTTCTTCCAAGTATGGGATCAGATACGAGAGGTCATCGACGTCGGTATAGTATTCGAGGTTGAAGGGGAGATCGTCATAGGAGGCGACTTTATCGATCTTGGTCAGGACGTTGATGTGTGGCATGTCCATCTGGAGCATGGCGCGAAGGGCCAGGAGTAGGTTGGAGATGTACAGCGAGGGTTGGGTCAAGCAGAAGGAATCGGAGAGATGTACGACGACAAGCTAGGAATACGTCAGCGAGGTCGGTCCGGGGGGGAATTATCGTGGGCAGCTTACTCTAAAGCCAATCTTCTGCAGCCTAAAGAAGATATTGCGCAGAGAGTTGTGGTGTGTGTATAGCTCGACTTGACCCGGGCAGTCAAAGAGAATGTAGTCTTCGCTGAATTCTTTCAAGCCTTCCTCCAGCCACTCCATGTTGTGCTCGAGCTCCTCTAGGGCATAGAGGATGCCGCCGTTGGGGCCCAGCTTGTCACCAGCCATGATATCTTCTAGCTTGACGAGGTCGCGGATATCGAGAGCTTTCGGATAGTTTGTGTGATCGTTTGCGGGATCGAGGTTGACCACGGAGCATGCGCGGCCAATGGCGCCCATAAACTGGTGCACTAGGCGCATTGTATTAGCATCGTAGACGACAAAGTTGTGTGTGTTGGCAAGGGTAGCCTACTGCCATCGCAATAGGTGCTCTTTCCAGAGCCTGGAGCACCGAGAATGAGCTGCGCAAAGGGCATCGCGTCTAATTGTTGGGTGTTAGGTTCAAAACATGCGTCGTATAGCGAGAGAAAGTGCGCAACTTGGTGTCGATAGTTGGTTGTTGGAAATCGTGAACTGATCTTTAACGATCAAAGTTTCCTGGTGTATGATTTACACAAGTGCAGGCCAGTCGTGCCCCTCCATGCAGCATTACCAACACCACCACATTAAGGAAAGCCATGGGCACTGTTAGGCCGGGCTGCCGTCACATGCCGCACGTTCCGCCCGCTCTGGGAACTTTTTGGCGGGGTGGGGCGGCACAAACTGGCTGACCGCCCGTGCCCACCTCATGTTCCTCCATGCTGCAAGCTTCTTCAAGCTCCCCCACAGCGCAAAAGCTCTTTTCTTCCTCCCTCTTCTATTTTTTCCCTCTTCTCTCTCCAACCACCTTCCACCTCGGTCCTGCGTCTCAGCCACCAAACAACGGCTTAAAACCAGAGGCTCTCCCTTGCCCGCACCCTGCTAGCCTCAGGGTCGCACTGCACCATGTAATCTGTCTTTTCACCTGCTTGCTGCATTATGCTGCAACGCCCGTCCCAACATAACACACCGCAGCCATGTCGTCGTCCGACATTTCGAGTGCCACCCACGCGGTATCAGAGAGCTTGTTGGCCACAATGAAAGCTTCTCCCGAGGCCCTGCCGTCCGCGTTTACGCGTGCGCAGGAGGTCGTCGCAGCTCAGGGATCGTCCAGCTGGCTGGGGCTTTTTGGCCGGTTGATCCTCGCCATTCTGTCCTTGATCTCTTCGATCCTGTATTGGGCGATTCGAATCGTTACCATTACAATTCCTACCGTCCTCTTCACCTTGTTCTCGACAAGCTGGACTGTGACGATGAACGCCACTACTCTGTACGCGCTTCATCATTCTATCAGGCTGCCTCTGAGCTTCTGCTGACTTGACGCGCAGCATGGTAATCATGGTTGCCATCATATCCGCCGTCAGTTGGGTGGTGCGATATCGCATCCTCAACATGTACTCTCGACTTCCTCCGGAGCCGCAGAGGAAAGAGCCTGACGTCGACTTGTTCCCCGAATCCCACGATGAGGGCAAGAAATCAGGCCTTTCGAGCTATTTGGACGAGTTCCTCAGTGCCATCAGAATCTTTGGCTACCTTGAGCGGCAGGTCTTTCACGAGTTGACCCGGAGCATGCAGACTCGCAAGCTTATCGCTGGCGAGACCTTCAACCTGGAAGAGGAGAAGGGATTCTGTATCGTCGTCGACGGTCTTGTGGAAATCTTTGTCAAATCTGGCCGAAATGCTAGAGCCATGGATCCGGACCCTTGCGACAGCTTCGGGGGAGATTCTGCCTATCCTGGAGAAGACGACGACATGTCATCAGCCCCACAACAGAGATACCAACTGCTTACGGAGGTTCGCAATGGAGCTCCCATGTCGTCCCTCTTCTCCATCATGTCACTGTTCACGGAAGACGTCAAGCTTCGTTCGACAGATGACGACACCCCGGAACCCACCTCAGGCAGTGGTGGACTAAGAACCTCACCATTCCCGCGCACCGCAGGCTTCCGCCGCATGCCATCAGACCCTGCCAGTCCGTTCCCAGCAACTCCCGAGTTTCCAGAGACCTCGGAGGAAAGGACTGGGGTAAGGATTGAGGAGCCTCCAAAGCGGGCCACTACACCCAACTTGCCTGGCAGCGCAAGAATTCCACCTATTTCGCTTGACAGCAGCGGCAGTGTCCCCAGCAGTGCTCGCCAGCCGAAGCGCCCTCCTCTTCAGAGTCGGGCAACTTCTGGCTCAGCGCACCCAGATATCATTGCAAGGGCGACGGTAGACACGACTATCGCCATCATCCCAGCAAGCGCATTTCGCCGGCTCACCAAGGTCTACCCCAAGGCCACTTCCCACATTGTTCAAGTCATTCTCTCCCGTTTCCAGAGAGTTACATTGGCGACGGCCTACAATTACCTGGGACTCACTGGTGAAGTCCTGCAAACGGAGAAGAACATGCTTTCTTTCACCTCATGTCAGTTGCCCAACATGCTTAGGGGCGATGCCTTGCAGCGTCTGAAGGAGAAGTTTGATCGGGAGCGAGAGAGAGTGGGCGGCGAATCGGAGAGCAAAGGCATAGCACTGCACAACGCAAACGCGCATCGTCGGCGGAAGTCAACCTCGACTCTTCGCAAGGATGCAATGATGCATTCCATGACCACCAAGGAGAGGTCATTTTCTCAGGTCGCTACTACCATCGGACCGCCAAGGGAGAGAGCTTCCACTCAGACCAGTCCTGGTGATCTTTTGGCCAACATCCAGTCAGCACGGCATATTGGCCACCGACCATCTGGTTCGGCTAGTGTTCACCTCGAACAAGTCGCTGACGCTCTCCGTCACGAGGGTACAAGCCCGCTTGCCCAGCGAGCATTCAACCCGTTCACAACTCAAAGGCAATCTCGAGGCTCGATCGACGGCCGAGAGTCCCTGGATGAAGACAACCTCTTCCGTCAGTCCATCCTTGAATGTATGTTCAAAGCGATCGGTCTGAGCAGCAACGGAAGCGTCTCCCGTGAGGCTGAGTCTGTCGAAGGATCCCCACGGCTCTTCTCTTACGACCAGAGGCGATCAAGACCTGGACTGGGCAACAATGCATTCGGTCTAATGGGCCCTTTCGATGCCTCTGGTGATGGAGACACGGAATCCATGACATCTGGAGGCTTTACACTGAACACGCCACCCAATGCGCATATCCTGGCAAGCGATATGAAGGATGATGTGGAGATTGTCTTCTTCCCCAAAGGTTCCGTTTTGGTTGAGCAAGGCGAGCGCAATCCTGGCCTCTACTACGTTGTTGATGGCTTCCTCGACATTTGCACGTCGAAGGAGGACACCTCAGCAGACATTTTGCAGTCCTCAAGTAGAACGACTCTGCACACCGACCATATGGGTATGGATGGGTCTCCTGCGTATCCGCCTGATCATATGGACGCGAAGAAGAAGCAGCCCTATCGTCGCAGTGTGTCACTCATTAAGCCAGGTGGCCTTGCTGGATACGTAGGCACAGTGTCGTCGTACCGATCTTTTATCGACGTCGTGGCCAAGACGGACGTCTATGTCGGCTTTCTGCCGCGTTCCGCTCTCGAGAGGATCGTCGACCGTTATCCCATTGTCCTGCTTACAATGGCTAAGCGACTGACGAGCTTGCTCCCGCGTCTAATTATGCACATCGACTTTGCCCTTGACTGGGAGCAGGTTGATGCTGGTCAAGTGCTTTTCCATGAGGGCGAGGAGAGCGAGGCAATTCACATTGTTCTCAATGGCCGACTTCGTCTCGTGCAGGACAGGAAAGATGGCGGTGTCAGTGTGCGAGCCGAGTTCGGTCAAGGCGAGAGTGTGGGTGAACTCGAAGTCTTGACGGAGTCTGTCAGACCAGGCACGCTCCATGCCATCCGTCAGACTGAGCTGGTCAAGTTCCCACGCACACTCTTCAACAGTCTTGCCCAGGAGCACCCGAACATCACGATCAAGATTTCCAAGATCATTGCGTCGCGGATGAGGAACCTTGTCGATGACCCCTCACAGCTTCTCTCCAAGGAGGCAGGCAATGCCAACACAATCACCAAAGGCTCTTCGTCACTCAACCTAAGGACCGTCGCGATATTGCCCGTGACTTCTGGTGTTCCTGTGGTTGAGTTTGGTAATCGGTTGATGAACGCCTTGTCTCAAGTTGGCCCTGCAAACGGTGCCACCTCCCTCAACCAATCTGCCATTCTCAACCATCTCGGCAAGCATGCTTTCAACAAGATGGGCAAGCTGAAGCTCTCCCAATACTTGGCTGATCTCGAGGAAAAGTACGGCCTCGTCGTATACGTCGCAGGTAAGATCTCTCTTTTTTTCTCTATTCACCTACACTGTCCTTTTTATGATGAACAAACACCGTTTGCGGAGGCAAAAGCCGTTGATGGCCAAACATACTCTAATTTTTTCCTGATTGGACTACCTATCTCACGCTTGTTGATGACACTCGTTGCTTGAACACCGATGCTAACTATGCATCAGACACCAACGTCAATTCTCCGTGGACTCAGACGTGCATCACTCAGGCGGATTGCATCCTTCTTGTTGGTCTTGCTGAAGGATCTCCGGAGATTGGAGAGTATGAGCGATTCATGTTGGGCATGAAGTCGACTGCGAGAAAGCTTCTTGTTCTTCTCCATTCTGAGAGGTACTCCCAGTCGGGTTTGACTCGAGCCTGGCTGAGGAATCGGATGTGGATCAATGGTGGACACTACCACGTCCAAATGGCTCTCGGGGCAAACATCATGCCTGCGCATCCGCCCTCAAAGCGAACGAGCACTTTGAAGGAACGGGTTCAGATTATCCAGGCGGAGATTCAAAAGTACACTTCGAGGAAGGTTCGGCACAGTCCATTCTACTCTCCAGATGCACCCTACAAGGGCGACTTCCATCGTCTGGCGAGACGTCTCTGCGGCAAATCTGTTGGCCTCGTCCTAGGTGGTGGCGGCGCAAGAGGCATCACCCAAATCGGCATCATTCAGGCCATGGAAGAGTCTGGCATCCCCATCGACGTTGTTGGCGGGACCTCAATCGGCGCGTTCATCGGCGCTCTATATGCCCGCCATGCCGATGTTGTTCCCATCTTCGGCCTCGCCAAGAAATTTTCTGGCCGCATGGCCAGCATGTGGCGTTTCGCTCTCGATCTCACATACCCGACTGCCTCTTACACCACGGGCCACGAGTTCAATCGGGGTATCTTCAAGACGTTTGGCAAGACTCAAATTGAAGACTTTTGGCTCGAGTACTATTGCAACACGACAAACATCAGCAAGAGCCGAATCGAATACCACACCAGTGGCTATGCGTGGAGATACATCAGAGCTTCCATGTCACTGGCTGGCTTGCTTCCACCGCTCTGCGATGAGGGCAGCATGCTGTTAGATGGTGGCTACATTGATAATCTGACTGTCTCTCACATGAAGAGGTTGGGTGTGGACACCATCTTTTCAGTTGACGTTGGGTCACTGGACGACGATACTCCACAGGCGTATGGTGATTCGCTGTCGGGAGTGTGGGCATTCTGGAATAGGTGGAATCCGTTCTCGGGCACAGCCAACCCGCCGACGTTGGCCGAGATTCAGGCTAGACTGGCTTACGTGTCTAGTGTCGATGCTTTGGAACGGGCGAAGACGATGCCAGGCTGCTTTTACATGCGGCCTCCGATTGATGACTATGGCACGCTCGACTTTGGCAAGTTTGACGAGCTCTACCAGATGGGATACAAGTATGGACAGGAGTATTTGCAGAAGCTTAGAAACGACGGGTCGTTGCCGTTCATGGAAGAAACGGAAGCAAAGAAGGCGATGCGGCGGACCATGGCACCCAGGAGAGCCAGCATCTAGTAGATTCTCAGACCTTAGACATGATTTGCCTACACGAGGAGCATGAATGATACCACCTTTGCACTGCCACAACGGACCAATATGTTTCCCTTTGCGATGTGTGCCTCAAAATTGATGTTTTTTGCGTGCTTGCTTCCCGCGGCTGGCGGTGACGGCGTCAACCGCTTGTCACAGGCGTTCAGCCTAAACCAAGGGGAGGGGGGGGGGCCTGCTGGCCCTCGTGGCTTAGACAGGATCTGTTCCCCGAGGGTGTACGGGAGAGTTTGCGTAGGTGTTCGGATAAGAGGGCACGACTCATGCCTCACACGAGGGTACGATGGCAAGGATGGCACGATGGTCTCATGATGATTTTGTTGTAAGGCATTTGGGCTCTCGAGCTGTAGCCTGTGGGAGCTGCGTTGCACTGCTGCAGTGCTGATGCTGCCCGGGCCTCATTCGTTGTCTGGTGGAGCCGTTTTGCGTTTTGGAGCAATTGGATGGAGAATGGTGAAGCCCGGGAGCTATGGCCAGATCGAGAACGCTTTTGACGTCAACGGCTTGGCGGGAATGATGGGGTAAGACCAGCGACATACTGTGAGTGGGGCTAAGTGAGGAGCATTTCGGGGCCGAACCCCATGACATCATGCAGGCACGGTGACGACAAGCTTTCCAGCTCGAGCCCAATGGGCAAGCTTCCCCTAGGCTCCCGGCAGTCGAAACATGGATCACGAAAGGTGTCGGGCTTGTTCAGCTAGTGGATGCGGGGGAATGCCGGCGTCCAGCGGTGAAGGGGACCCGGGGCTGGGTTAGTGTAGCTTGGGTAGGTATTAAATTTCTAGATGTGCCCAGCAAATGTCTCTCTTGTGCTTGTTATCCGTAGTGCTTGTCATTTCATACCCAAGGTATTCACTTTGTGTGGTCCATCCCCCCCCTGCCAGCAAGCCACACAAGTCGATCCAGATCCCTTCCCGATTGCCGTTGAAAAGTGCAACGCCGTCAGAGTCTCCCCTGCATATTTTGTCTCAATTCGGCATCCGTACCCCTCCCCTTCTGTGCCTTTCTTGCCCTATCCTCGACAAGGGGCCTTGACGCCACCTGCAATCCTTTGAGATATATAATTCTACGTACCGCCGCGTTCTTTTTTGCACCTTCGGCACTTTAATGTCGTTCTGAGGGGACGCGAAAACCACCAGCCTCACCACGCTTTACCCTCGAGACGTATATCAAGAACAACGGAAACAAAGAAACTGTTCGAGTACGGGGAACGTTGAACAACCGCCTTTGACACTAAACCGAAACCATAAAATAAGCTACCGTCAAACTTATACACCATCTACATCTCAATATTCAAGAGCTCGAAACATATACAAAGTCAACAACGGAAAGGACAATACACACACATACATATCAACACACACCTACACAAAATGGTGAAGCCGAGCAAGCTCCTCCCACCCGATCCACGACCCTGGAAAGCGGAACCCGAAAAACGCAAAGAACGCAAAGAGTTCGAAAAAGAGGTCGCCGGCTTCGACTGGGGCCAGGCCATCGCCCTCGGCCTCATTGGCGCGACGGTCGCCTTTGGGATCGACAATTCGCTCAAGCGCAAAGAAGCAAAACACGAGGAGGAGGAGAGGAGGGAGGAGAGGCGGAGGCAGAGGGAGAGGCAGTCGGGGTCCCGCGCGCCGAGGAGCAGTCGCAGCCAGGCTGGATATGATAGAGACAGGGGCAGGAATAGGGAGAGGCACGGCAGCAGACACGACGATGATGACGACGGCAGAACCGACGACGGGAGGAGTTTTCGGGATGATAGGAGCGACCGGGATTACTACGACCCGGATTGGCATGAGAGGGAGTATAAGTCCGTGAGGGACTATGCGCCACCGCCGAGCGATGTTTCGGAGGCGAGGGCGACGCGGGGGACCGCTGTGAGGGAGGAGAGTGTTAGTGTGAGGGGCGTTGGAGGGAGGGAGTACGTGAGGGCTATGGATCAGTTTGAGAGGGATTATGGCTATGGGGACTGTCGGCCTAGGTATAATGAGCGGAGGCGGAGTCAGAGTATTCCTGTCTCGAGGTCGAGAGATTATTATTCGAATTGGTAAGGATTCTATTTTGAGAGAGAGGGATAGAGGATCTAGTGTGGTGTGCGTCGTCGGCGTGCCCTGGTTCGGACGGATGAGCGATGGGGTTGATCGACATACGACACTGCATAACTAAATGACATTATGAGAATGATTATGATTAGCATGGGATAGGGTTGGTTCTGCATATGGAAGAATCGAAAACAGACACAGATACAATACCCTTCTCAGAGTAAGGGATTGAGTCTTATGTTGGAGCGAAGCATTCACATGGTTTAGACGTTTTTGCGTTGGTTCATCTTTTTAACAGATCTTTCGTTGAATTTTCAATCATACATATCTGCAGTTCAAACCATGCCTTGCATCTGACAATAAATCAGTGAATATCGCCATCTCACCTCGCTCACTTGCGTGTATGATACGTGGGTCATTGTCAACTTCTTACATTCTTGGCTGTTGACTAGCTACATTGTGCCCAGATCAAATGGGGAGTGACTGAAATACGGGATATTTGGTTACCATAAGCAGCTCATACAAAAGAAACATAATGCAGCGTCATGTTCAAGATCAAAATTGAACGTCGAGATCGAAATTTCAGCACCCAAAGCATCGTTCCCACTTTTACATGGCAGTCTTCATCGGGCACTCAAGAGCCGTAAGTCCAAGCATGTTTACTCATATCCGAGTCTATTGACGCGATGCTTTCTACGTACCAAAATAAAAGACTCTAAGAGAACTCTACTGTCCATCGGCAAGCGCCTTCTCGGTAGCCGCAACAATGATATCAAACGCCTTCTGGACGTGCCCCTCCTCAATAACCTGGCTGCTCCCGGTACACATGCGAATACCATACAGCCCATGAAGCGTCGTCGGCGTCAAATAAATCACGCCCTCCCCGTTCACGCTCTCCAACACCGCCTCCGTCACCTTGTTGCTCTTCTCTCTATCACCGGCCTTGCATGTGAACACGACCAGAGCATACCGCGGCCCCGTCACAATCTCGAACAAATCCCCCCTCGACTTCACCATCTCCGCGAACCTCTCCCCGAGCTGGATCCCCCTCTCCAGATGCTTCCGGATCCCGCTGGCGCCGTACGCCCGCAGCACGAACCACAGCTTCAGGCTGCGGAAGCGCCGGCCGAGCGGGATCTGCCAGTCGCGGTAGTCCGTCACCAACCCTGCCTCGGAGAACTGGTTGCGCAGGTACGCGGGTTTGATGCTCAGCGACTCGACGAGCCAGGTGCGGTCGCGTACCCAGAGGGCGGAGCAGTCGAAGTTTGTGAGCATCCACTTGTGCGGGTTCACGTTGAAGGAGTGGAAGGCGGCAAAGGGCGCCGTGAGGTGTGCGTTTTGCGGGAGGATGAGAGCTGAGCCGGCGTAGGCGGCGTCGACGTGGACCCAGATGCCGTCCTGCTCGTCAGAGGCCAGAGCGTCCTTGATGCCCGGGAAGTCGTCGACGGCGCAGGTGTCGGTGGTGCCGAGGGTCGCGGTGAGGTAGAACGGCTCCAGCCCCTTTGCGCGGAGTGCGGCGACGGTGGAGGCGAGGGCGGCCCCGGACATTGCGTAGCCCGTTTCCGCCGGGGCCGGGACGGTGGCGAAGCGGACGCCGAGGACCTGCGCCGCCTTCTTCGTGGACGAGTGCGCCATTTCGCTGCCGAGGGCGACGAGCTTGGAGCGCAGGCGCCAGGTCTCCTCCTCCTTTTCTTCCGAGTCCGCGGGGAGGTGGGCGGTGCGGGCGCGGAGGAACTTGTCGCGGGCGGCGACCATGACGGTGAGGATGGCCTCGGAGGCGGTGCCGTGGAGGACGCCGCCGCCGCGGGTGGGCGCGGTGGAGAGGTACGACTCGGGCAGGTTCAGGAGCTGGGCGAGCCAGTCGAGGACGATTGTCTCGAGCTCGGTGACGGCGGGGGAGCAGATCCAGTTGAAGTGGGCGCCGTTGAAGGCGTTTGAGTAGAGCTCGGCGAGCATGGCCGGGTAGGAGGAGGAGCAGGGGAAGAAGGCGTGGAAGGAAGGGGATTGCCAGTGGGTTATGCCCGGCACGATGTGGGATTGGAGGTCGGCGTGAATGGTCTGCCATGATTCCGGGTCCTCGGGGGCGGATTGCGGGAGGAGGGGGCGGAGGTAGCCTGGGGTCACCGAGGGGAGGACTTTTGGTTGGGAGGTGATTGTGTCGTAGTATTTTGTGACTGGGGGATGGTGGTTAGTGACTGAGGGCTTCGTGAGAGGGGTTGGAGGATGAGGATTGGGGTGAGGGTGTTCGGTGGTGATGAGATTCAGGAGGGTGTGATGAGAGACTTACTGTCTTCTATGGCCTCTGCGGCCGCGGTGCGGAATTCGGATGAATCCATCTTGAAGAAGGTCTACTAATCAATGTCTAAGTGTTGCTACTGATGTCCTTCGCTCAGAGCCTGGGTACGTGTATGGAGGGCAGGATTATCCGTCTTATAGAGAATGATATCTCGAGTCTTTAATGCCACCTTTCCAGCAGTATGAGAGACGCACACATGAGATGAAGTCGATTGTGTTGTGGACGTAGTAAGTAATAGCCCGGCCAATCAAGAGCATTTCACAAACTAGGGTCGGCTGTCCATAGACGACATGGAAGTTTGCATCTCTATCTGGTACTCCACCATGGCCCGCCCATCACATCATTGTCCGATTTCCTATTTCCCCGGTTCTTGGAAGGTGGATTCAGAATGCAGTAATGTAATAGGTCAATGGTGTCGAAAGCTGTTCGTCGTGGCGTACGGAGGACTCGACTACTCGTCAGCCAGCCGCGCGGGGCGACTCAACGCGGGGTTTGTCGCTCGGAACACCGGCCGGAATGCCCTCGGAACGGCTCCGATTATAAGCATAATGCACCCAGCCCTGCTCAAAGGGCGCCTTTTTGACAGAAAGAATGTCAAAAATGCGTTTTGGGCCCTCCGCCCTAAAGTGACA